AGGAATGCTCCTCCTGCTCCCCTCTCCTCCCCGTGGCACTGACCATGCTACTGTTGTAGGAAAAAAACAAACCAAGCTTGAGTCCTGCTTCAGCCTTATAGGTATTAAAAGCTCTGGCCTTCAGCCATGAGTAATATCCACTCCAGAGTTGTTCCTGTGGATTTGTGCATGGTCACCACACGACCTCCAATTTAATAACAAGCGCATTTGGCTTTTCTTATGTCAAAAGCTTGTGAGTACATGTGAAGAGCAAGAGAGAGGACAGGGAAGAAAAGAAGTGGCTGTCACTCAGTGTTTTCTTTAAGGTATTTTGCCCAAGGCTTGGGCTTCCTCAGAGCACACACAGATACACTGAGGAGCACACAGTAAAACATCAAAGATAGGTCACTGCTTGAGGTGAGACCAAGTGTCTATGCCAGGTCCAGCTCTATGACGAGTCACAGCTGGTACCCAAAGGCCACTGCCACATGTCAGTCTCTGCATTGAGGTCTTCCTGAAATCCTTCTGTCATTCAGACAACTACCTGAAAACATCTCAAGCCACAAGAAAATGGATGAAAGATTCAAGTTTCACCACCTGTTATACTTGTGTTAAGAAAAGCTAACAGCTTGATCACTGCCAGGTCAGGCCAGAGCTCTGGAGCCAGCTGCTGGCAATGTTGTGTGGGCCATGAAAGGTCTCAAGAAGAACACAAGCCACCTGCAACAACTGTGTTCCTGCAATATTCCAAGCAACCCTGGCTGCTTTTTCAGGGCTGGGTAATAGCTTTGCTGTGGCTGTGATCTTCAGAAAAATGCTGAAGACCTTTAAAACATGATACCACCATTGTTCTGAGTGAGACCTGACGTGTCTTTATGCACGTGCAGAAAGCCAGACTAGATATGCTCAGGTGAGCAAAGATACATCTTGGACTTGTTGGGACAACACAGTTTGTGCAAATAACTGAATGCCTACAGGTGTATGTGAGGGATGAGTAGCATGACTATCACTGGGGAAGGGAAGGCAAGACACTTTACTCATAGTAGAGCTGACCAGTGTGGACCAGACACTGTAGGTGCAGCAGGTCTGCAGGAATTGACTTTTCTGTGAGACTCAAGTGTCCCTGTCATGTGCCCAGTGTAAGACTTAAGATCCCTTCAGCTGTTGCTTCGCTTTGTATGTAGAGCAGGTGCTTAAAAAAGACGTTTAGGATACGAGTTAAAATTCTTTCCTGATTTTTTTTTTAATGGAAGTTTGTGTCAAAATAAGTTTCAGGTTTATTTTGGTTTTGTTCTTTAGCCTTTCAGATGAGAAGACTTGAAGCTGACTGATGACCTGATCTGAGGGAATGCACTCTTTCTAGAGGAATCCTTATAGCAACCTGCCTCCCCCTGCCAAGGTAGCCACAGTCTCTACACAGCCAAGTTAGCAAAGTATAACGCAGCTGACCCCCAGTGTCTGGTCCCCAGCACCCCAACCCATAGCTCCAAGTTTCCTGGGCAGTGCCACCTCCCTAATTTTTGATGCACAGCATGCACTGCCAGCTTTCTGAAGCTGGAAAACACATAGCTAACAACCAGCAGGGTTTCACTTTGAAAGTATGTTTTCAAGGCAAGAGCTTAAAATATTTGTTTTTCTAAACTGAGTGCTTGACCTAATTAAGCACAGATCAGAATTAATGTGTGACAAACACAGGGGCCTTTGCTAGGGAATGCCAGAGCACTGCCATTCTGGACGCTGTGTTTCTAGGCAGGTTCTGCTGCAGGCATCCTTCAGCAATTGCTTGAAACTAGACCTCGAGGGCATACAGGGGAAGATTAATTCCTTGCGCCTTTAGAAAGACTTTTAAACTAGCCTGAAGGTGTGAGATGTAAATGGACTGTCACTGTAACTTGCTCTTGCCTTGCTGCAACAGCAAGTACAATTTCTGAAGAAGGCCAGCTTTGTAAATACTCTGCTGTTCTCAGCTCTCAAAAGAGTAACTGTGTCAATTTTTTTTTGTGATGTAGCACTACTTTTTCAGACAACTAGCACGACACGAGACTAGAGCAATTGGATGCTGCAGTTTCAAAAACTAGCTGCTTTAAAGTCTGATAATACCCAAGTGCTTATTTACTGTTATCTGAATAAAAAATATTCCAGTATTAGAATTTGACTTGGAAAAATCTGATAGCCTGATAAATTTGTTGCTGTTTCACTAAGGCCATTGTTGCACCAGACACTTTGAAGAAGGCTCTCTCTTTCTCTCACTCTCTCTCCCTCCCTCACCCCCCAAGGAATTCATCCTTAACTAGGTGAAACAAGTGTCTCCAAGAGCCATGAGCATTAGGAAGATCCTTGGGTTCCTTTCTGAACTACAATGTAGGAGAAAATGCATTCTCTTCACAGTGCATGATTGTTTTAACACAGAAGTCAATGAAACCTTTCTTATTCTCAACAAAAGTAAGTTTCAGCCTTTTTAATTCCTAGTGGCAGAAGTGGCAGCAGAACTGGCCTGATAGGATTTCCTACATACACATCTTTATACTTTTTGCTGGTGGAAGTGATCAACTGCAAAATGAATTAGCTGTAATGAAAGCAAGAGGGACAGTATTAGGCTGTTTTTGAGCTACAGGGAGGTAAGTTTTCTGCAGACAAATCGAAGGGGGGAAAAAGACCTATTCCTTAAAAATAATGAGTTTCTGAATTCTTTTCCAGTCTTTCAAGATGTCTTCTCTTCGCTCTCAGAGTAAGTACAGCATATTTTAAGCCAAAAAAAAAAAATAATTCCAAGAAAATGTGATAAATGCAAGAACAGGGCTTTTTAATAGACTGCAACCTTAACCACAGAGGGGAAAAAATATGTCTCCATAAGAAAGCAGCTTGTGAGTGAGTAGTTAACACAGATACATGAATTCTATGTGTGACTTCAGTTATGGCTTGGAAGTATCAGTCCTCAGTAGCAATATCAGACAAGATCTGAAAGCTGTTCACTGTGTTCACTGACAGTGTAACTGATCTTTTTTCCTCCCTAAGTTTTGAAAAAAATGAAAATGTGAAATCATGTTGTTTTTTTTTTTTTTTTCCAATAAGGTAGTGTTTCACAGAAGAGAATGAAGGAATAGCCTCTTTAGGAAGACCTCTTACAGGTTAATTTCCTTGGCTGGGTCTTCTCTGATGGCATCCTTTTCTTCTAATGTCGTATGCTTTAAATTTGCCTCTTTTTGAGGAAGAAAATGGGGTTAAAATAGCCTAGGTAGTACATGGGAAGACAATGACTTTGGTTACTTTTGCACATCAGACTCTATAGAGGAATGGTTCCAGCTTGACTTGTTCTAAAGCTTCAGTTATGGCTTTAAAACTTGGCCCGGTCCTACAGAGGAAAGACCACCACGTATTAAAGCATTAGTTAAAATTAAAAAGGTGAACACATAACAGTGCACAATAAATGCAGGCTGCTGTTTGGAGGGAGTGGATTTTTCTGCTACTTTCAGACCCCGATGCCCACAGTTGCTGATTAGAGGAGATGGAGGTCCTTCTGGAAGAGGCTGGTTGCTGATGGATAGCTTCAGTGCCTGAGGGTGCTGGATGCCCTGAAGTAAGAAAGGAACTTGTAGCAGAGGCTCACCACAAAGTACCAGATGTTTCGAGCCATCTGTGACCTTGCAATGAAGATGCGCCAGATGATCACCAGGAGGGTGGTGTTGAACGCGTAGCGGATGTTCCTCAGCCTGAGGAAGAGGAAGAGGTATCATGTGGAGGAATTAAAAACGACAACAACACAACTTTAACCAGCTTGCTTCATTTGCTGCAGGGAATTTGGTAAGAAAACCTGTTTATGGGTGGCCCGTGGGCTTCTTGCCACTTCTGTTTTATGTAGACACCGTGCCTAAGATGTCCCTACTGTCTTGCCAAGGATGGCATTGAAGTAAGGGCATAGTGAACAGTTACAGGGATAGGTGGGATACCTGCATTGTACATCCCTCTTGTTGTATTCTCTCATTTCAAACCAGAAGTCACACTGAGAGTTTTTTCTTTATGATGGCCTAGGGCCAATACTTTGTGCTTTGATTTGGTCAATTGGCTGTTTTCTACTTTGCAGGATTGGTGGCAGGCTAGAACACCTTTGCATGAGTAAGGTTCTCCTGTTTGTGTGAGTCCTTGCCTTTCATCTTGGGAAATGACTCAGGGATTGGAAATGGTCCTCACTTCTGCAGCACTGGGGTTTTGGGGGGTGTGGTGTGTGTGGTTTACAACATTTAAATGGGAATATTAAGTCTTTAAGATGCTTTAAGTAAAAGTTTCTGCAGTTCTCCAATTCTCACTTTCACAATGTCTGTGGAAGGGAAGAAAACTTTGTTGCTAATGTCCCCAAGACTGATTTAATTTTTCTAAGAGTATTTTTTTGTTTGTTTTTTTTTTGGTAAACTTTATCACTGCATTATACCACACTGCCTGTTTGGGCTATGAGGCAGTTATTGGTCTCTTACAGAGGTTCTTATAAATCCTTCAAAGATGGCCCATGAACAAAGAACTTGTTTAGAATTCCTTGCTATGGTAACAGGCTGTTTTATGCTTCTGGCATTTACAGTGCACAAGAATGGTTTTCTTAAAGGAAACAACCAGGCTCTTACTCCAAGAGAGCTGCTCCTTCTTTTGCCTGCACTTCTCAGTAAAAGAGCTGAGGACAGGAAGAGCACAATCTTGAATTGAATAGAAGGACAATCTGGAATTGCCCATTCAGACTCTCTTAAACTGCCACCAGGGATTGAAAGCATAAACTCTCCACTGATTTTGGAGAATTTTTTGCCCATTCCCCCTAAGCAATTAGAAACTTCAACTTGAAAATGGAGTTTAAAATCACACAAATGCTTCAAGTTTTTATGCAATGTCTCTGAATTGCTAAGGACTTCTAGGAGCTGCACGAAGTCTAAATCTGACCCTTATTTTTGTCTTGTAATTCTGAATATCCAAGATCTCCTGCATTCCTGTATTCCTCTTATGCACTTTAACTTTGTTACTTGGTGGTTGGTTAGGAAGGCATAGCATCGAGCCCCAATTGTTAGTGTCATCAAAAGTCCTCTTTTTCTTACAGGAAGGAAAAATGAAAGTGTGACCCCCCCCTCTGCTGTAAGAAATAAGCTATGCTGTGTTTATCTCCCTATCGATCAAGAATAATAATTGCAATGGAACTAGAATAATTTTCTCAAAAGCCATTGAAGGTAGCCAGGAGCTCTGGTCCTTGTCACTGGGTACGACTTACTTTCGTAAGTGTTGCTTTGCTGCTGGAATGCCAGCCATGTCCTCATTTAGCAAGTACTTCTTAGCACCTAGGCAGTAGCTTTCAATGTATTCTGACCAGTGCAGCTGACGGACATCAAAGTTGTATAACTGGGATTTAAAGACAAAGAGCAGAAGTTAAAATGCTAGAATTCAAAACAATTTCCCTTTTAAGCATCGATTCTTCATGGACTTCTGCTTGAAGTTCTTTATATCCACAAAATTTCCAAGAAGACATTGGCATTAACAGATTACATTTCACTGTTGTTGATCAATGTCTTACCCAGCTGTGAATTTGGGCAAAGCAAGCAGAAATTTCATGCTAGCTGGCAGAAAATAAAGGTAAGCTTGTCTTTCAGGTGGCAATTTTTGCAGAAATACATGTATTATACATACACACACAAAACTGAGAAAGAAAAATTGCATTCCACTTGGGTAAATGGATTCATATGAAAATCTCCATATGGTTTTTAATGTGTTAAGAGATGAACTGGCTATTGAGTCAACAGGTGCCTCTGCTTCAGTATTACGCTGCTGTGCTGCATTCTCTCTCAGCAGCTAGACCAAAAGAAGTCCAAGATATGGGTTACTCTGGCGTTTGGCATCAAAAAATCTCATTAGCTACTGTACAGATCCTGGTGTGTCTGTCACATACATGGAGAGATCAGCTAGATAGCTGCCCATACACTACCTAGCTTGAGTACTGCTTACAGTGCAGCAGTGACAACTGCTCCTGTGGGATGCAGTGCATCTCACAAAGCTCTTATAAGCAGCCTGGTGAGACTAAAACACTGTCAAGCTTGCACTGAAGTCCTTGAAGCTCCTCTTTTTATTTTTTTTTCATCTTCTTTGTAACTAACTCCTAAAACTTAGGTTCCCTCTACATCTGCTGCAGTCACAGCAGTTCCACTGCTCTTAGAAGTTAGATTAATTAAAACCAATGTGAATGAAAATGTCAAAATCTTTCAAGTAATTTTTATCTTGATCACCCACCAGAGCTGCCACATTAACTGGAAAGACTTCAGTGATTGGCCTGTCTCAGAAGAATGAGCAACACACCTCGGGAGAAAACATTCTCCTGTAATAAGTGGAAGGTTCCTGATAAGATATTTAATACCACACAGAGGAAACACATTATTTCAGGCTGAAGCCAATTCCAGCCATCTGGATGTCATTCAAAAGCTCAACAATACCCCAAAAATAATTGCTGCAGATGAACCGAATTGGAGATTAGCAATCCATGTTCAGGACATAATTACCTTTTTGTCCTCTGTGTTAAGGTGACTCATGAGCATATTCATATTATCTGAAGACCAGTCCCAGGACTGGGTGGAGAAGTACTGCAGGAGCATCATGGACTTGTGCAGTCGATTGACAATCTTCATCATTCTGAAACAGAGGAGTGTCAGAGGTGGATGGGCAGTCTGACCTGCAAAAGCTCTTGGTTTGCTCTGTAGGTGTTTTCACCCATCCAGATGAATAGGGATTACAGTTCCTATGAGCACTTCACTGTCCTCACCAGGCTGAGAACTTGCTTAGCAAGTCTAACTGCTCCACCTAAACTCCTGAGCCTATAGCTACCCAGCTTTTATTGTTGGCTTGAACATGGGTGCAAATATGCATTTCCCAGGGCATGACTGATGCCTAACTCATTGGCCTGAGCTAAACAGGGGTTGGATGCCACACCTACATCATGTACTGCATGTGTGGTGAAGAGCCCATCTGAACTAGTATGATGTCTGCACAGCAGATTGCAAAACTACCAAGGTGTATTTCTTGCCTCTAGAGGTGGATACTTCTGTCTACCACACAAATTCTCTACTGTTCTCAAGCCTGAGTTGACTCACAAAGCACGGCTCTGATTTTTGGAGATAGCTCCAGTACAGAGGTGACTGCACCTGCAGCATGGACCAGCTCTGAAGTCAATTGCTCAACTTCAATTTTCAGATAGAATCATAGAATGGTTTGGGTTGGAAGGGACTTTAAAGATCATCTAGTTCCAACCCTGCTACCATGGGCAGATACCTTTTCATGTCAGTTTTTCAGAGGTCAGTTTTTCAGCCACCAATAGCCCCAAATCCTTCTCTGCAGGGCTGCTCTCAACCCCCTCATCACCCAGCCTGTATCCATGTTTGGGACTGCCTCGACCCATTACACTTGGCCTCGCTGAACTTCATGAGTTTGGCATGGGCCCACCTCTATAGCCTGTCGAGATGCCCCCCTCTGGATTGCATCCCTTCCCTCTACAGTATCAACCACACCACTCAGCTTGGTGGCATGATTTTGATGTCTTTTGGCTTCTTTGATCTTCCTCTCTCTCTCTCAAAAAAAAAAGTATTTGTTTTACTTAAAGGCCATTTCTCTCCTTGTATAATACAGTAGCAGTTTGGAGTGGTTTTTGTGTCCTTGCTTATACAGGAAGGGTCTGATAGCATGCAGTCCTCATGGATGACCTTGAAAATCATCCAAGTCCACAGGCTGTTTTTTTTGGGGAGGGGATGTAGAACTGTTTGAACATCTTCCTGGAGTGTAAGTGTCCTGGTAAAGGTGAAATTTGCTTCAAGGGCTCTACAAATATAGTTTCAGGTCTCATTATCTTGGCTTTTTTTTGTATTACTAATTTTTTATATAAAAGGGGGTGACAGTAATGCTGTCCCTACCTTGCAGGGTTATTTGACAGTTCTCCCAGTGGTCACAAGTACAAAAGACCTGTGGGAGGCAGTTGTTTTAAAGTGTGATGTACAGAGCTCTGCCAATTTTGAGAGAACACCACGTTCTCTCAGTCTGGATAAGGGCAAGAAAAAGCATTAAAAGGCTGATTTCTGTAGAATACAGAGTTGTTTTCATGAGAAATTTTTAGCTGCCCAGAGGGTAACACAGCCACTGTGACAAATAAAAGGCAGCAGTCTGGGGAAGAATGGTGCCAGGCTGGCCTCTCCCCATGCAGATGTGACTGCCACAACCATCAGCACTCAGCACAGCAGAAAAAGACACAATGAGTACATCAGTTCAGAGGAGAACTGTGCATTGGAAGAGCACTAAACCCTTGCACAGGCACTCCTACTCAGCATTATAGTGGCTTTCATTTTTTGAAGCAAAGCACACCATCTGATTAAAGGAACCTTCATTCTCAATAGTTATGTGCATATTGATTGAATGCAGTTCATCTAAATGACTTAAAATTTGCTTCAGATTAATCTTCCCAATTATGCCTGTGTAGGCAAGTACTATGGGGCAAAGCTTAGGGAATATTTTAATACCTTTCAGTAACTTTGGAAACAAAGTTTATGGCTAGATAGCAGAGATATGAAGTTGCCCCTTGAACTGGCTCTAATAAGCCAGCAATATTTTTAAAGTGCTTAGGGCTAATGGAGTCTGTCAGACAAAAAATGATAAAAGAATCAACTGTGCTCTCCTACTTATGGTTTGAAAACAGTCTACCCCCTTTGGCCTCCTGTCACTGTGAGCACAGTAAGCTCTGACTGTAGATATCCCCAAAATGCTGTACCTGAGTGGCTAAAAGAGAGGGTCAAAAAGAAAAATTAAGCATCCAAAGAGCTAAATCTGAAACCTGTGTTTCACATTAACTGGCTGAGCTCAAACACTGTGACCACATTCAAAGTATTGCCTCATTTAGATGAAGGAATGGTCTGCTGGAAAACATCAGCTGTGTAGAAACATGCTCTTCTGCAGCCTCTGAGAGACTATGGCAAACATTGTTTATAGAAAAACTCATTTTCCACTGTGGAGGAGCTGAGAGGAATAAAGCAAGTATGAGCTGTCACTGATAGCCTTATTAGGTACACCGCAGAAATACATCTTGTCTTCTAGAAAACTGTTTACAGCAATGATTTCTTTATTTGCTCCCAGACTGAGCCTTGCATGATCAGATTCTCAGGTGCGACAGAGAGCCCCAGGAGACTACTGATGATAGAAACCACATTATTTTCTAAGTCATGGATGGATGTGCAGCAATAACAGTAAGCCATTTAGGGCAGTTTTGCTAGACATCTGGCAATTTATGTGAAATGAGCTAACATTTAAAGTAAGCTCCTCAGGAGAGGCAGTATATAAAATTCTAAAACTGAAGGAGATGACTCTTGTAACTACCCTTGGGCAGGTGGAGTGCTATGTGTGATAATACTGGAGGAACTACAACCAAGCTGTAGTTCTACAACCCCAAACTGCCCTGTAGGTCAAATTAGTGAGGGTCATAGGCTAGCGTTAAATAAACAGTAGACTTGCAAAACCATAATGAGCTCCTAGATAATCTTATGATGAGTTGAGCATAGATACAGTAGGGAACCAAGTCTTGGTCCTGGCAAAGAACTTTCTTCTTTCTGCTTGCAAATCTGGCATAGAGTCATGGAGAAAATTTAGGAAATGTCCATGAAGACAGCTTGCACTTGAATAAATGGGAATGACAAGTGGGAAGAAAATTAAGGCTGGGTGCTCTGTGAGAAGGAGAGGGAAAAACTACAGGGAAACATTACAGCAGGTTCAGTGACATATTCAACTTTTTTTTTTTTTGTATTTCATGTGGTTTACTGCCCTTAGACCATAAAGGTCTGATATTTAAGCATCTGTGAAAAAAAAGAATGACCTGCGACCACGTTACAGTAATACCTGGATGAGCTTAGGTAGCATGTCAAAAGAAAAGCTGAATTATATTAGAAAAAAACCCAAAAAACAAAACCCAACTTGAACTCACAAGTTCATTGCTGAGCCATGTCTGCTCAGGTTGCAAATCTTGAAATTCAGAGGATATCTTTCTCAGCATGAGTTCATGCTCAGCTCTATTTGAAATTTAAGTACAGTACTGTGACTACTTATGCCAATCAACTTTATGAAAAGAACTGTCAGTTGTAATGGCAATGCCAAGAGCTTACTGCTGCTTATTTCAACCAAATTTAGAGACTCCAGCCTATTCTTGCTCATCTCTGGTTTATGTCTTATTTCTAGGGCAATTTTTATCTCCTGGATAACTGGAAGGTTTTTTTATGGACTGATTTCTCTCTGTTGCAGAATGTAGGAGAGAAATCAGAGCAATACATCAGCCGTGGATTTACCTGCAAACAGCTGAAGCCAGATTTCTAACTGGCAGAGGAGCACAGAGTGCCTGACATCAGCACAGTGCCTGCATACCCCTCCTGTGTTGCACAATAAATTCTTCTCTGTGGTGACAGGGAATAGAGGAGGATGTTGGCTGCCTTATGCTACTGCTACCAGGATTCCTTCCATCAGACACGTGCATCACATGCTCCTCCTAGCCATGGCACTGCCAAGGCTCAAATAGCAATTGTAATGGTAAAATGTCCTTGTAAATGCAATTCAGAATTTATTCATACTCAAGAACAACTACTTCCTACATTTCAGGGTGCTGGGCCAGTGCTGGCAACTCCTAATTATGCATCCGATTTATGGGGAAAAAAAATATGAGCTGGAATGTTGTAAACCTTGTCAGGCTCAAGTCCCTGTAAAAGCTCATGACAGATAGAGGCAATCACATCAGAAAGCTGTAACAGTGGAAATCTTGCTCTGCAGAAGACAGTATAATTCCTGGTCCTCCTCTTCTGTCCTGGGAACCTCTGAAGTGGGTAGAGCTGAGTTTAAAAAATGTGCTGTCCCCCAGGTCCTGGAAAGGGTGGGAACCCTAAACTATGCTTAGCTGTGGCCATGAAGTTCCTTTTCTTTTTGAGCAATCTCAGAGGCAACCTCAGAACTTGAGGTGTGCTCTCCATAGTAGTGGTAGGCGTGCAGGAGGCTGAAGATACACGGTTTCTTACCTGGGCTTTCTCCCAGTGAGCCTCATGTACAGGTCGTAGAGTATGGCTGGTGCCTTGTGACTGACAGTGACCCAGTACTGGTTGATCAGGTAGTTAGATGTCAGGTGAGCGTTGGGTGTTCGGAAGGCCTGCTCCAGTGGGTTCCTTTTGAACGTGGACATGACGTACTGCTCTGTAAGGGAACAGGCACTGGGCTGCAAATCAAGCACTTACAGTTCAGTGGAGCTGGGAACACCCACACCAACATGCTGCAGGTAAAGCCCAAGTTACACTGCTTAACATGTTCTGTGAACTGTGTAACCAGGGACTGGATAAGATCATCTCATGGTCCCTCCTGGCATTACAGTTGATAACTCTGTCTGTGGCCTGTTTGAGACACTGTCTGGCTCAAGACTTCACAGTGGCAGACAAAACCTTCCTCATCAAAACACCAAAAGGTAATCCAGGAAAAGCAGGCAGCTGTAGCCCGAGACACTTCAAACCAAGGAACTGCAGCTCTCCTTTTACCCACAGCAGATGTATAAGAAATTGATGTGATATCTTCAGATCACTGAAAACCAACTTTGATCTGCTAACACAAAATCATAACACAAAAATCATAACCCATTGTGTTCATTAACACATTGTGTTAGTGATCGTAACACAAAAGTGACATTTCTAATTTTCAGTCAAATTTTCAAAAGGGCTGATGTCAATATCTGAGTCAGGCACCTAGGGTGCTGCTTCTAGAAAGTCTTCATGCTATCCTTTCAGACCCACAACACCAAATAGCCCAGACCATTTTCAGAGGAACTCTGGATGTACTAAAGCCAACTTGTCTTGCATTTGTAACTTGAAAACTAGAGATGGGGTGGTGGGCTTTCATTCCTCTTGTGTGTTAAGGCACAAAATATGTTTGGTCTGATTCTGGGCTCACAGAAGTGGCATCTAGATGTGCATATCTGGGGCATTTGCATGTTGCAGAGGCTTAACAGAACTGCAGGAGTTGAATACAAGACTGATAAACAGATGGTGCTCCTATGCCTGAGCTCCAGCGAGCTCAACAAAGAGGAATATGTGGGCTTTTTTAATTCTTTAAAAATGAATTTGAGAGTTATGACATCAATCTGTGCTCATATTAGAGTTTATTCTCTAAGCTTATGTTACAAATAGAAAATAAGATGAGAATTCGCAAGTCACAAGAAACATCCAGATCATCCTCAGATAAGCAGATTTCAGTCATAATATTCAGGCAGTACTCTGGTGTATCTGTGGTTGGCTTATTACTGCACTTCAAGTAGTGATTTTGTTTTTTTTGATGTATTCTTTCTAAGCAACAACAACTAGAGGAGACTTGTGAGCCACTTAGCTGCTAAGTTTAGACACTAAAGACTTCTAAAACAGTACAATTTAGTTTTAGTGCAAGTTCACTGGTCATTTTTGTGTCCTGTATGCTGCAAGTTTAATGCCTGATGACCAGTTCTCCTGAGCTAGCATCTGAATAGCTAGAAGTGATGGCCATCCCCTCTGTTTCACACAGCCACACTGCAATGATGTGGTTATCTCGTGGTCACCTTGTGGGCTGTGGTATGGAAATCTTGCCCTTTGCAACATGTTCTCTCAACTGGCAAGGCTTGAGAGAACCTCCTGTTTAAACTTTGTGCCTGGTAGGGACAGCTTGTGGGGGCGTTTTTACTCAAGATTTGCAAAGGTCTTTACTGCTGGCAGGGAAGTCACCACAAGTAGTTTGGTGTGTGCTGCTGGGAAGGAAGCCACTGTCCTGGCCTAGCTCTTGGTGGATTTTGTGTCCATCTAAGCAGCACGTGAGAAGTGTCTTTCCTCTGTGTTAGCAGCACAGTAATCTACTGCAATTATACTTGGACAAAGTCATAGCTGGATAAATGTAAAGATGTGCTCCCAGTCTGGAGAGAGCTGTATATTTGTGCCCATTCAAGTAGCTCATGGATCAGGGGAGCAATCCCATGAACTCTGCTGCTCTTTCCTTAGGGAACTTTCTCCAAAAGGCACTTTAAATTCCAGTTTGTTTACAAGCTCTCATCTGCTTATGAATACTAAAGTCCATTTAGTTTCATTTGGTCACTTCATTTCACTTCATTTCCTAATGGAAACCTACCACTTTAACTGAGAACAGCTGGTATTTTAGGATGGAGATCATTTTCATATTGTCTGCAGCATGTATTTATAGCTCTGTTTCTTCAGATCTGTTGTTAATATACTGCAGATGTAGGTCTCAGCTGTAAACTGGCTGAGAAGATTTCCCTTTTTTCTTTGCATTTTTGGCATCTCTGGCCAGGATAGCAAGAATCAACTCATCAGTAAGTGGAAAATGCAGCCCTTGTCACTTCAGGTCATCGGCCATACACCAATTTCACACAAATCAGCAACACCCTTATCATCTTGGTTACTTAAGGCTTGTAGCTGCAGGGAAGAAGCTACAGTATTATGCCTTGATATTACTCAGCTGAGAAGCACTTATGTCAAAAGCAGATGAGATATCAGCTGAAAACTCAAGAAAAATTCTGAAAGTCAGGAATGAAAGTGGTTTTGTTCTGCAATGCACATAAAAAGGCATCAAGACTGACTTGAAAGACTTACTGTAAGGAAGCTGGGAAAACACCAGTGTTGTGTAACTTGGACCAGTTAATGCTACGGGTGTTTTCTTGATGAACCTACCCTATCCTGGCTTGCACTGACTCAGCACAATTGCTGTCTCCTAATTTTTGGAAAGCATTCAACTTTGCAAGCGTAGCAAGTCTCTTATGCTCCAACAGTTTGTTTTGGAGAGAGAGAGAGAGAGAAAGTATCAGACAAAAACCCACAAGACCTGTAGGAGCTACTGAAAGGACCTCGTGGGTGGGTGGTCTTTCCCCTCTGACCACAGCACAAAAATGCAGCAGCAAATTCTCCAGTGGATTTAGCAGGGGGAGGATCAGACACCAGTCTTGCCTAGTTAGATTCTCAAGGATGAATTGAAATGAAGTCTTCTCAGGCTGAACACTATTTTAAGGCCTGCTTTAAGGTTTTTAATCACAAGTTGCAAGATGTACTTCACAAAGTCAGACTAGGAAGACTTATGTTGCAGCAAAGCAGAATATGCTTCTTCAGATTAATACTCAGTTGTCTGACAACATTTGTAACAGCAGGGAAAATAACAAGAAAGCAAGAAAAAATCCCAAGGCATAGCATTATTTGGAAAAGAAATACGTCAGTTAAGGTTCCTATTAATGCTAGGGGTTTGTTTGTATAAGATCTGTAGAATAAACTGGTTTGAAGTGGGTGTTTAACCATAAGGTTTTAAGTAGACAAGGATCTTTCACAAAATTATCTTTAGATCTCTTTCTCCTCCCTCCCTCCAAGCTCATCACCTTTCACTCAAAATTTTCCCATCTCAATCACTTCTGTTCCCTACCTAGGGCATCTTCAATCCACACCAGTCTCAATGGCTCTGATCTTTCTCCCCTTTCCTTGTTTCCCACTGAAAAATCCCTACTCTTGTTATGTTTGCCTGTCATTCCTACAGCTGGTCCTGGTGTAAGTCTCCCTAATCAGGTAACCCAGGTCCTCCCCTCTGCAAACCCCATGTTTGATTTGTACTTAAATGCTTAGTCCCACACCAGATGACTCCCATTCCCCACCCTTGTTTCTCAGCAGCTTCCAGTTTTGCTTTCACAACACTGCACTTTGTTGACCTGTTACAGAGCCTGTGACAGTCTGGCCTCCCCAGACTCCTTGAACATTGTCCTTTCTCTTGCTGATCCTGTGTCTCCTGTATGTTTTTTCACTGGGGAAAAAGAAAAAAGCTGAAAAAGCTGAAAAATGACTGGATGTAGAGACCTGGCTTCAACTACTTCAACCTGAAAGGTTGGCAGCACTAAACACAACTGGAAACAGGCTTTTGAAAAGAGAGTGTGGTAACCCAAGTAGCAGATTCTGCCCCACTGAGAAGGAAGGAACTGATGAGTGAAGTTGGGCCCTTCTATGCAAGGGCTGGATTACTCAATGGTAGCTCTTACTTAAGAGGGATCATGGCTCTGAAAGGCCTGTTGGAAGTTCATGCCATGAGACTGGCTGCCTAGAAGCCAAATAATAGTGAGTAGACTGAGAAAGTAATGTGAGTAGGTTGAGAAAGTCTGTCATGTACATAAAGAAGATTTTAGAATTGTGGGTATTTACCAAAAAGAAATTGGTAGGAGACTAAATTGAGAATTCAGACTGAATAGCCACAGTTGTAACTTCCTAATACAAAAAACCTTTCCTGAACTCATCTTTTAAACCATGCAACATCTTTAAGGGCAAAAATTTGCTCTTTGATACTCCATCTTAAATCCTGTTTATGAATTTATACCTAATACCATCCCCCACCTGCTGGCAACCTGCTGAGCTCTGGAAAACTGTGGATGCAATATGTGGTAGAAAATACTCCATAGTGTCACCCAGAGAAAGAATGTGGTCTTCAGTCCCATCACACAGCTGAGCTGCTCATGCAGTCTTCTGCTGCACTCAGATGATATCACTGATAAATCCACAGTTACGAGCAAAGTAACAGAGTAAGATCAGTTGCAATTTGTTAATACATTGCTGTCTTCATCCCTAAAACTACATGGAATATGAGTTAAGAAAGGCAAGTGTCAGGTCGTAGGTGGCTGTTGCCTGAAGTAGCAGCCTGTAAGGAGCTTTGAATTCACTCCTGTGAAAAGCCCTCAGAAGATTTGACTTTACACATTGTGATGACTGGCTACATTTTCCAACCATCAGCTAATGAAGCCTCACCTCTTGTTACTACTGTGACAAACCACAATGTTAGATCTCTCATAAAAATAATAAATCAGGAACTGTAATTTCCTTACCCCTCAGCCAACTGCCAAAACCTCTTCCCTTCTAGATCACTTCATCAAATCTCATGGTATGACATTAGTAGGATTTTCAGACAAGTCTTCCTCTGAAAATGCAATTTCAGTCTGATTCTTTGATGACTTACAGTTTGCCAATTAAGTAATGCAAAGGCAAAGGGAAAGCAAAGGCTGAGAGGTGAAGCACCACACTAGTGGTCTGCCAGCATCCTGTATTTAAAGTACAAATATATGAAAGAAAGCAGATCAGGCCCTGTACATCTGTCCATGAATGTACTGAATGTACGTAGTGTATCTGCTGCTTGGCTTCAGTGTGAGTGTTCCACTCTAGAGGTGTCAGGATTTGTCTCCCTTTCTTTCACCACTGCCTCAGGAGAACATCCCCTTGAAGAAAAGTCAGCCACAAAAATAATTCTATTTCTTCCACTGACAAAATTTACGATCAAAAGCAGAACTGTTGTTGAAGCACATCTCTCACTTCAAGGTTTGCCTTCTCATAGTCTATGACAGTTATCTCCGTTTAGAATTTTCTTCACAGAAAGAGGAAGAAAAGCTACTCTACTTCCTTAATATGCTAGTTTTCATTCACTATCAAAGTTCTCCAAGTAATTTCAAAGCACAAAACTTTCTCCAAATCTAGAAGAGGTTGTCAAGCAGAAAAGGAAGCTCTCCTGTTAATGACTACACAGAGGATCTTCTCATAGAATTAAGGGGCTGGTTCTCTATTCCTTTTTCCAGCATTTCAATACCTCAATGCAGTAAAGCACATATTTTGCAAGTTTGTTATGTGATTACGCCCACAATGAAAACTGAATAGATGTTCTCCTGAGCTGAATGCACCACGTCAGGAGCTTTTGCTCACAGGACCCTCACCGACTGCAGCTGGGCCTCCCATGCTCAGCTTGAATGGCAGATGCTGAATGCCACCTAAATATAGGCAACCACCTTCTCAAAGCCTGGGCAAGGCATGCTATTGATGTTTGACAGGTTCTAGGTTTAAATTAGAACTTACCCATTTCTCCCCAGAAGAAAGGGTTGATTCCCCCTGTTGTGCAGTTGAACACCAACATGTTTTTTGGCCTGGAAAAGAGAAAGAAGTATTATTTTAAGCTGTGAAGACAAGCACCCAAGGCTTTATTAACAGAGCATGAAAGCTAACAGCTCAAGAAAGTGAAACATCAGGTCATAAAGAAATGCAGAAGGAGGCATTTTTCATAAATATGAAAATACAGTATAAAATAGGAAGTTTAGGTAAGATTCAGTCAGATTCTAGAAAGAAAATAAGTTAATAAAGACAGGATTTAAGAAAAATCATCCATACTTATAAAAAATTATAAAACCAACAAGGAAAGTGTGCATACTGACAAATATCTGATTTTTTTTTCACTAGTTTCTCTTAGTATACTGTAAATAATTGGCCTAAGCCAACCTTGGAGACACACTGTGCATTTTACAATCATTTCCTTAATGGATATGATTTGTGCTACTCATAAACTCCATTTATTAGGGTGGTGATTATGAATCAATTCATTTCAGCAGAATTCTCATTTTAATAACAACGTTTGGTTGGTATTTGGCATGGAACTAGACCTAGATCATACAGCTTTCTGCCTTCCTTCAACATAAGGCAATGATTAGTAAAACAGCTTTTTCGATCTAAGCCTGCTTTGCCAAGGGTGCAAGTGATGCCATCAATGCAGCTTTTTCTTACTCTACATTATCAGCTGGATCTATCTGCCAAAATACTAGAAGAAGTGAGATCTGGCCTTGACCAGGGGAGAGCAGCTTGGCTCCAGGATACAGCATCTCAGTGCTTCTAGGGTGCTTGTGGTGCTCTGAGTCTTTTGCCACTGGAAGAGGCTGCTGGTGAGGAACCTCTCTTTTAAAAACTCCTGTGACTGAAGAGACCAGGAGATTGAACCCCTAAACCTGGGATAGGAGACGTCATGCAGTAATACTTGAAAACTGTGGTTGGATAAATGCACAGTTTTAATGATGCTTTTTAAAATAATGTTTGGAAATGATGGCATTTGACTGGGTATTATCATTATTATTAATCCCTAGAAGACTTCTAGGGATGGTTAGGGCTAACAGAAATGTCAAGCTCTGAATCCATGATCTCCTGTAACTTTGAACTACTGAGTAGAATTCTGCTAGAGTGTTAAAAATGCAGCAGCAGTGTTTAAGGAGGGAAACTCAACATGGCAACTCCCTGAGGACTAAAGCCTTAAAATGAGCCCACATAGAAAACTCACCTAGTGCTGAGCCCCACACACAGTTTGGTGGAAAGTGCACTGAAGTGAAAGCACAGACTTCCATTAAACACCAACAGAGAGGATTTCTCCATTTTCCCAGCTTCCCATGAATAGTCTTCCTGTTGATTTTTTTCCATTCTCCACCCTCCAGCTGAGTTGCTGACCTTGGTAGAGTGTAGAGCTTTGTAGGGCTTCCACACTATGTACTGATGATTGCAGTTCTCTCCTAAGCTTTAGAATCTAATTTCTAATGTCACCTGCCCTGAGGCATACTGAGTTTCTAATTAGATGATTTGGGAAAAAAAAAATTTAAACCATACATGCTATTCTTCAAGACACAACCTAAACCTGAAACTCTCTCAGAGGAATTAAATTTACAGAAGGCTCAGGCTCTTGATTTTTGTGTACAGATTGCCAACCTTGGCGTTGTGCCCAGCTAGACAAAGCTTTAAACTGAGTTCTGCAATTGCTCCTTTAGTGTAATAATTATTTGTGTAGGAACCAGACTAAAAGTATGTAACTTTTGCCAATGAAAAGTTAAAAACCTGGCACTGCTCCTACCATGATCAGAGCCAGAAAGTCTACCTGTGTGCTGATACATTGCTCATCAGCATGTGTTTGTCTCCTTTTCCAGCTTTATGGACAGGCTGTACCCTTCTTCATCTGAAGGCTCTCAGGAGTGTGTGTGTAAAGCTGTATTTATTTTTTCCCAGACCCTACTGCTTTGCCTGTTGCCAATGGAGAGGGATGAAACTATGACAAAATAAAACTGAAAAGCTAGTGAGCTGCCATTTAGGACCCTTTTAGGATCCCTGTATTTAGGTTACTGTTCATAGCTCTTCTCTACCCTCAGCTCAGAGCTTACTCTGTCTTTCAAAGTAAAAACTTTCTTTTATTTGCCTAGTATTGATTTCCCAGAGTTGCATAAACCTTCAGAATAATTAATGTGGTTTATTCTGTAGCACTTCCTACCTAGTGGTTAAAAGGCCAGAGGTTCTCAGGAAAAGTTCTGAAAGTATTAATGTCACTTATACATACACTTCTCAGCAATGCAAAGAAAGGTTTTTTTTAGATAATCTGCCCTGTCATAATATATGTTAAAATATAATATATTTATATTGTGTCGTGTTTTCCAAAGAAAACACACAGAGCATTTTTACTAGAAAATTCTAGAAGCCAGTTGAAAAGTGATTTAATGCAACTGTGGCCCAAAAATGGCTTCTGTGAAGCTGCAGAAAAGCTCTTGGTCTTCAGGAAAGTGACTTCTGAGAGAGACTTATCAGCTAAGCTTATGTTGTACTGAGAAACAGGTCTCATGTGCAGCATTGCAGATTTCCTAACTCTGAAGCCTGCTTTTATGGTTTCTGCTGCACTCTTAGTCCTTGCCAACTCAGGGAGGAAAACATGAACCAGAAAATGAATCAAGAAGGCACTTGCACAAGTTTTCATTTAGCTTCTGGTTCCTTTAAAGTCCTGGTGTGGGCAGTGAGTGCCTGGGTCTGGCAAGCAGGAGTGCCTTCCCACCTGTGCACAGCAGTGTACCACCCAGCTGCAAGGGTGAGGTTGATGGCGACGTCTACTGGAATCATATCTGCCACGGCTTCGTTGTTGGCGATGACGGTCCGCAGGATCCCTTTGCCCGCCTGTGGGACAAAGGAACACAGTCACTGACCTAACGCCGTGGTCAGACCTCACCTCTCTCGTACTGAGGACATGGTAGCACTGCTCAAGCTTGGCGCCTGCTGCAGAAGATGATTTGGTTTCTGTGAAAGCAAAGGTGGACCTCGTAGATCCCATTGTTCTGCGCTTCCAGAGGAAGGCTGAAACATGATGATGGCTGTGCTGTGCCTAACAAGAAAAGCTGTGACTCAGCCCAGTATCAAAGAAATACCTTAGGAAAGAAAGAGGTTTGAATTTACTGAAGTAAAAGTGATACCTGAGTAGCTATATTGTCTTAAATGACACAGGCAGACAGAGGTCTGAGTGTCCCTCAAAGTCATTTTGGAAATGGCACCAATAGGCTTTTTGAAAAGTTCACTCCCTTCCCTTTGGATGTATTCATGAGTGTCCATCAAAGACAGTCGTCATTTTGGAAATGGCACCAATAGGCTTTTTGAAAAGTTCACTCCCTTCCCTTTGGATGTATTCACACCCTCCTCTTTTCCACATCCGTGTCTGTTATGCACAAAGATACAGTCAAAACATGACTCCTGTCTTGAAGAACTTGCCACCCAACAAAACTCAGGAAATGAATGAGTGAAAATGAAAAGTATTGACAAGCAAAGAGCAGAGGTAGGCAAGAACAAAAGGTTTTCATTTTGCTTTAGGTGCAAGTGCATATATCAGGGCATCAGACTCTCCCAAATATATATATCTAACCCAAACGCTTATCCCTGATGAGGAGTTAGTCTTTGGAGGTTCCCCAGGAGAGACATGGCAACAGATGGCAACAACATGGCAGGCTCAATTAGAGAGGACAACTCAGCAATATAGAAATGTGAGGGTGAAATGGCTTGAAGGAACTTCACCTAGTGTGTCAGGTATGAGGGCTAAACAGAGCAAATAACAAAAGTAACCCAAATAGCAGAGTCAAGGTTGCAATCAAGTTATTTAGCATATGAAAAATAAAATGCAAGGAATTTGAATTTGACGTAGAAGCTGAGAAGCTGGTGAAGAAGCTGGGAGGATAAAAGCTTGAGTAAGCAAGGAAGGAAAAAAAGCTCTTATAATTTAGATCTGTGCAAAACCAGAGGGAAGGACTGAATGAAGGGGCAAAGGAACACGCTCTACAGAGCCATGATTATTTAAAAGTTAGGGCAAAGCAAATGTTATGGCTTTTGGGTTTTTTTTTTCCCCCTCCAACCTGAGACTGATCCAATAGCTCTCCAGCTGTGAAGGATAAAGTTTTACTACAGCCAACTAGACAGGAAGTGCCTAGTTCTGAAAAAAACCTTGCCTGAAGGCTTGGAAAAATAAAGATGTGATGAAAAAATCATTTAAGACTTGATATTAACCTCTAAAGCCCATGTCGTTGTCTGCTGGTCATTGCTGGATTTTAAGGGACACCACATCCCCTGTTTGGGAGGGATTTATCTGGTTTTTTTTTTTGTTGCTCTGTCTGTCTCCCTCTCCTTTCCCCTTGTATAGATGGTTTTGTCAGATTCACAGCTTCCAACTAAAGCAGTACCATTTATGACTGACTTAATTTTCATGAGGTAAGACTCTTGAGCAGTCACATCTCATCCTTGGTGCAGATGGCAGAGGGATCATAGACAGACTCAAGCAGAGGCAGCTGTGTAAGCTTCCCCACATGACTCCATCCTCCTCAAACCCGTGGCATGTGGTTAACCTCTGCTGCCCTAAGCTGAACCACAGTTATGCTTAGACATTAAAACTTCCAACACCACTATTATTTGTTGTTGTTGTTCCTACTACTGTTTTTTTTTTTAAAGGGGAAAATGGCAAAAAGAACTAAAGCAGCAAATCAAGCTCAGTGATGAATTTTCCACTACCTTGAACACATGTCCACTAGAAACCACTCTGTGATCACACTTTCACGTGTATACTAAAGACCTTTTTGAGGTCTTCAAAACTAGGAGATTTGATGGATGTGCTGCAAACACGCCTGTATTTAGAACAGTATGTAATGGATTAATTAGATACTTTATATATTGTGTATTTAATACACAAGACTTTAGGCTGAAGTGGTTTAGGTTACTTTCTACATTGGAAATGGTTTGGTTCCTCTTTACCAGGTATGGCTTGGTTTCTATTTAGAGTTGCTGACTTTTTTCTCTCTACTGAAAGAGAAGGTACTGTAGCTGAAGCCTCCACAATAATTTTGCAGTCTGAGGTTGATGTATCTGGACAGCCTCCCAGCTGAAATGCTTTGGGGCCAGTCACTGTCCAGAACATGAATTAATCTGTGGTTCTGTTCTACAGCTTCCCTGCCTTGCAGGGAAGGAGGTCTTTACATGTAATTTGGAACAGTGAGACAAAATGCCTCAATTACAGTCCAGCAGAAATATAATTAATTTCATTTTGTTTTTCAAGCCACAAAGCTTCTTCCCACAGCAGCTGGAGCAACTGTAGGCGAAAGAAACATAATTAGACTATCAAGAACAACTTCAACTCCCATATTTCATGAATATTTAAAAGAAATATATCTATTCGTGGAATGAAATTATCAGACTCAAATATTGTAGTGGTGAAGGAAAAAAACACCAAAACAACTTGGCAAAGTTTGGAGTTCAGATTTGCCCAGATGATCCTGAAGATCATTTGAACCAAATCTGAATCTGGGTGTTATTGTCCCTATAGGAAGAGCTTGGGTTAGAAGTGGCAAATAAAGTTTTTTGTATGGAGGGTCTTTACAAAAAAACCAACACAAGCACAAAAACACTTCCCTTTTGCTTTTTCCATCCTTAATTAAGGTTAATAAAGTTACTTGAATAATAATTACACTTGAAATACAGTTGGCCAAGGCAACTGGTTGTAGTCACATGACTTCAAGGTGATCAAACTAACCTGTAACTCACTCAAGGGTTAATTTTCAAAATATCAAACAGGATTTAGCAATTCACTGTATCCAAGCACATTAGTTGAAAACATGTATTTATTCTTCCCCCTTCAGAAGACCAAAAGTCTTTTGGGCTCCCTGATACTGAACATCTTTCACTTGCAGAAAACTAGTACCAGTTCAGCTAAGTTCAATACCAACTGATCATTGTATAAGACAAACACTGTCTGTCAGCACTGGCGATCCCCCTTCACTACCCAACATCACAGAAGCTCTAGTCCTGACTAGAGACTTTCTGCTTGTTTGTGTTTTCTTGGCTATCTTGATATATTTACAGATCAAATCATTGTATTTCATCACTGAAGAGCTCAGTGCACATGATACAAATTTGTGTCTTTATTTCCTATACTGAAGAACCTCAGAGCTTCAATCCTGAACCAAAAAATACCATCTCTATTTCAAAACTATTTCAGTACGACTCAAAGTTTATATATAAAGGGAAAAGAAATTCTTTAGTATGGTGAGCATAGAATCTCCATATCTTTCCATAGAGTTAAATTGGAGATACAGATACAGGCTGGTATCTGCATGTAAAAACTGGCCTGAGTGAAACCACCATCAGGTTTGCTGTTACAATTCAGTAAGGCTAGAAATTTTTTGCTTTGAAGAACAGAAAATATTTACTGGTATGAGTGGCAAAGGATAAATCTATAAAATATATGCAAACTTTAGTAATTACTAAAGTTCCTAAAGTGAACACTATTAACGACTGATAAATGGGCAAAATTTTCAAATACTTAACCATTAGGTTTT